GGCTGGCTACCATGTTAGCAGTTAGCTTTGACTGCTGTAACTGTAGGGCCAAACCACCCCTGGCTAAAACAGAAACATCTTCCTTGTCAACTTTCTCTCTCTCTCTCTCTAGTGCCGGTCATCACATCTTTATAAACTCTTCCTTGTCTATATGTTTAACTGTGTCTTGCCCACATGTAGCATTGCCATCCTAATTGGGGGGGGGCAAGCTGGAGAGGAAAGGAAGAATATTGAAATTTAGCTGCCTTACTGTAGACACAGTCTCACACGCTCACTTGCTTGCCCCCATCGTCACTACCCACCATCCCTCCCACAGCCTCTCTAACCTCCCCCTCACCTCTCCTCACTCACCCATCCACCCACACTGCATCACCCTACTGTCCACTTCTCACCCCACCACTCTTGCAATTGCTGTGCTCCTCTCCTCTCCTCCCCTCCACCCACACTCTCTCTTTTTCTCCAAGCCCCCAGCAGTACCACCATCACGATCATCTCTCTCCCTCCCTCTTCCCTGTCCTTTACCACTCTCTTCCCTCTGTCCCTCCCTCCTCTAAAACCTTCAGGCTGTGCTTGATTTATGCTTGCCCTCCCTATCCACACACATCCCACCACCACCAACAGCACCACCCGCCCTTCCCTATCTCTCCTGGAGGTTGTGGCCCTTCTAGTCCCTAAAAACAACAGAGAGAAAGAGCAAGTAAGGGAGAAAAAGACAGAGAGACCGAGAGAGGGCGAGAGAGAGAGAGAGAATAACAACCTCTTTTACTTTCCATCCTCCCTCATTTTTAACCCAGCATTTTTTTCATTCCGCTCTCCCACACTGCTTTTTAAATTGCCTCTGAATTCTTGAGCTGTTTTAGTGCCTCACTCCCCCTTCCTGGCTGAAATTACTTTTTTACCCTCTCAAACTCTGGCATGCTGAGGAAGCAAGTTCCACCTTCCCTCCCCTCTTTGTCCACTTGAGGACAAACACGCACTAATCACACATACAGCATATGGAATGGTTTGTGGGGTGGAGTGTTGGGGGGCACCTTTCGTTTTCATGTTTGGAACCATGTCGCTGTAATGTTGTGTAGACACTGCGGTGTGGAGAGGAGTCTTGTGACAGCACAGCTCTTGTAATGCCTTGTCCTTTTCAACCTCAGGCTGTCCGAGCCATTAACCAGGATGACTTGGGGCAAGGCTTCTTTCTGTGTCTTTCTCTGTCTCACTCACTCACACACACACAAAAAAGATATGCAGTGAGAGAGTCTTTCTCCTTTGTTTGCACTCCCATACTCAAACATGCACACAAACCCTACTTTCTTCTCTGACAGCTCTCTTGTGGTCGGCAAGCCTCAGTAACTCGTTGCTTAACCACCCTGGACTTGTTCTCTCCACTGTGTTTGGCTACTGTCTCTGCTGATTTGAAGGCATGGTGTGTTGTGTGTATGTGTAACTGGAGGTGTTAACGGAGTGTGTCCATCAAAAGCCAGGTCATGCGTAAGTGTGCAATTTATGTTTATTCACCCTTTTATCTATCAAAAATTCTATTTTTAGAAAATGGAAAGTCCCTCACACAGCAGTGTTTAGCTTCATTTTGAGGGGAAGGAGGCATATTTTGAGACAAACACACACACACACTTCTTGCACACAATCAGAACAGAAGATCAGAGGTCAAACACGGTCAGCTGACCCTTCCCTCCCTCTTCAGGCCTTCTCTCGCCTCCTCTTTACTGCGTCAAAGCACGCTCTTTAATAACACTACTCCCCTTTGGAAACACACACAGTTACTCAGATATACAGTGCAGCCTCCAACCACAGCACATAAAACTGTATCTTCTCTCCATTAGCTGTAACTCTCTCAATGGATGATAAATGCAGTATCCCTCTCAACACATCTGAAGTATAGTTCAACACACATCTTTTATTCCAAGGCAAGTCTTATTCCGCCTTTGCTTTTGCCCACTCAAGCACCCACATAGCTCGCAGCATCGTTCGCACACGCGCACACACACGAACAAAGAGAACCACCATTTTCACATATTTGTCTCTCCTTTTAAAAGGGGGTTTTATTTAGCATAAATGTTGAAGCCAAGGGTGGCTGGCTACCATGGCAACCAAATTAAACGGAGGATCTCTTCAGAAAGCAGAAATCTAAATTATTCGGACTCTTTTATGAAGGGGAAAATGAAAATTCTCTTCACTGTACAGAGACCACTGCACTGTAAAGGCAAAAAAATGAGGGAAAATGATGAGGAAATTTTTTTGCTGCTGTTGTTTGACCATAGTTCAAAGGCATATGCTACTGAAACTCATAGGTTGTCATGTACATTAACACTCAACATATGTGCACAAAGGAATGATGTAACCACAGCGTCTCTAAAACTCCAGATAAATCCATTGCTTCTAAAAGACAGATTTGTGTCTACAAATTCTCAGCGAAACCCGATGCACATATGATGAAATCTATAAGCTTGCATGCATGGGATTAGGTACGACTGTTTCTGGTGTAGTAAACGATTTAATCTGTGGGAACAGGATGAGGTTTAAGTAACGCACCACCTATGCCTGGTTGATAAAGCTTACATAAGTGAAGGAGGATTATATAGTATATTCCATGTATTTGGTGTGGAAGCTTGTTTGTGGCTAGCTGAATGCTAATTTCAAATATCTTGTGCTTAGTCTCGGAAATGTGGACAAATCCTCGGAAAGCAGGATACTGTATGTTGCACAGCAGAGTGTGTCAGCAGGCCAGAGGGAGCCCTTTGCTAATATCTAAAACATACAGAAATTTTACACATTTTGGTACAAGATGGAAATTGTACTGCAAGAAAATCAGGAAGCAATCACTTTTCCATAAGTTGACCAATAATCTGTACAGTGTGACTGACGCATTGTTACTGTATGACTGTGAGGAGGCCAGACATATTCCATCTGTAGTTGCATGTGTCCAGGGGATGCTGGGAAAAGTGGTCAAGGGTCATTCACTCGTTGAATGAACAGATGAGTGGAAGGAGATGGGGGTCAGAGGTGACCATCTTTTCTCTCTCTCCTTTCCTTCCTTCCCTTCCATTTGTCTGCCTCTCCTTTCTCCATTCAAGTGTATGTGTGTGTTTGTGCATGTGTGTGTTTGTTGTTGACCAACAGCAGATCTATGTTATTGATTGACTCCTGTGGCTGCTGTGCTGCCCACTGAAGGAGGGGGCACAGCTCTAATGAATTCCTGCACCTCATGCCCCTTGCGCCAACCCCTACACCCCCTCCTTAATTAACTTTGTGTGCGTTTGTGTGTCTGTGTGGGTGTGTGTGCAGGTGGGATGGGGTTGTGAGTGGATTCATACATGTATGTTTTGTGTATCTTCTGTGCTTCCTCCACAGCTCGACACCCCCGCTTTTACACTTCCCTGCCTCTTTTCCCTTTGTTTCTACCCTGTCTGTGCCTCCTCTCTTCTTTCTTCATCCTTCTGCTTTTTCTTTGTCTTTTTTATTTTCATCTCCATCTGCCAGTAGCTTGATGGCTGCTGATCACTTCATATGTTTGCCATTCTCATCTGTCGTGCCTTCCTCTTGTCGATATTTGCATCTTTACACCTCTCATATCTATGTGCAGTCGTGCATACAGAGCGTGTCTTCATCCGTCTAATCTGTGATCATTTATCTAAACTGAATGTGAAAAATGACTGACTGTGTATGTGTGTGTGTGTGTGTGTGTGTGTGAGAGAGAGAGAGAGAGAGAGAGAGAGAGAGAGAAAGAAAGAAAGAGACAGAGTGGTCAGCACTGACCTAGTAGGCTGTGAACAGGCTTTGTACCCATCGGTATTCCAGACGTAGAGGGAAACTACTGTCTCTGTCACCTTGACTCCCCCTGCAGCAGCCAAACACAGGAAACAGTTAGGACTACCTGACTGTAGTTAAAATTGACAATGGGGCTATTTTGTTCTCTTGCTCTCTTTTCTACCCACTTCTGTTTTCTGCACCCCCACATCACCTGTTTCTCTCTTCAATTTGTTTATTCCCCATCTGAGTGTAATTTCATCTGTCACTGCTTTGTGGAACAGTAAACTTATTTATTAGGATGTCACGAGGTTTCTATCCAGAACAATCACACATAATTATACACACACACACACACACACACCCCTTTAGTCCATCTGTAATCTGAATTAGTGCTCAGAGGTCTGTATGGATGTTTGTTTTAGGTGTAGGCAAGCCATTCTGTCAAAGTCTCTAAGTCAGTGATGTGTGTGCTCTGTATTTTTGTCTAAGTCTCTGCAAACAACCTGCCATCAGTTAAATGTCAATTAGGAGGCAATGAAAGCACCTATGTGTGTATGTGCATCTGTGGTAGTGTTGAGCAGAGCAGTCATCAGCAATGTAGTCTGACAGTCTTGTAGATCCACAGTGGAACCTCCAGCGACATGTCTACTACTGACAGCTTCTCTGCACACTCTGCTTTCAACGACACTGACGGCTAAACACACAGACACAGACGTAACGCACACACACTGCGTCTGTGTCTGACTTTTTCTCTATGTGTCTCTTTATAATCTAACTGTATTTTTGTTGACTGGTGATGATGAGGTGTGTTAAGGAGTTGAGATGAATCAGAGTGGTGACGTGTTGGTAGTCACTATCAAAAACACTGGGTGTAAACGGTGACTCGGCTTGGAGGTTTGAACAAATTTGTTTATAGGTGGATTTTTTTGTATTTTCACTTAAGCTGTTATCACTGTCAGTTAAAAACCTTAAACAGACAAAGTGACAACTTTTTAATACAGTGTTAGTTTTTATTTTTTGTTTTACAAACCCCATTTTATCCCTAATAAAATGGTTTCTCAAATCCAAGAGTAGCAGCATTTTGAGCCCACAGAAAAGCATGCAATCCCTAAAATGAATTTAAAGCAGTGGTGTGTGAAATGTCCCTTATCACCTATTTGGACTTCTGCTTTAGTTTGTGGTATGTAATGTAATTTAAATCACTGAGTCTCAACCATTTTTGCTACTTCATCTCTGTTCAGGGGCAGACGTGACTGAACCCAACAGCTCAGACAGCCGCGGTGAACGCCTCGACTTCTTCCTCAAACAGGAAGAGGCTCTCACCACAGAGCCCAGCTTCATGGGTCCCAGCGAATCAGAGGAGGCCGGAGGAGGAGCTGGGGGCGGAACCATCTCATCTGTAGCCAATCTGAAGGCAGCACTGATGAGTAAGAACAGCCTGCTGTCGCTGCGGGCTGAGATGATGGGAGATGATAACCCCTTGCTGTATGAGTACCTGCCCAAAGGAGGACACTCCCTGTCATGTAAGTCACTATTTAATAACACTGTGCTCACCCGATCGTTACACACCTTTCAACCCAAACAGCCACACATCTCATTATAACTTACAACACAAGTATACACAAATCTACTAGTATATTTTTGAGTACCTGCTCATGTGGTCACCTGTGAGACATAGAAATTACAGGTTTGACCTCTTTTGACAGGAGTCTCTGTATTTTCCCTCATCAGCCACTCTATTGTATCTGGATGCATGCATGCTTGTGTGTGCATGTGTGTGTGTGGTGCCATTTGAATGTGTAACAAATTTATGTGACGATGCCAGTGATGACCAGTCAGCGGTGACTCAGTGAGAGAACATTTTGCTGGGATCGCTCTCACTGTCGTGAGAAAATTTGTTTGGTTTTATTTGACAGTTTCTTTGTGCATATCAGTGGGTTTATGGCTGTATTTCACAGCAGCAAAATAACACAACAGAACTGCTGCAACTGTTCAGATATTATTTTCTTGCTGAATCTCAGCACCAAAAATGATAAAGTGCTTTCCCCCACTCAACTATGGAACAAACAACCTCTGCAGGTTGTTGAAAGTGCTTTCAAAATAAAACTGTACCCCTCCAAACATCAATGTACAATACAGAAATGTGATGTCATGTGAGACAACATTCATTACAACACCTTTTATACAATTAGGAATTATTCAAGTATTTGTTTACCATAAAATTTCAGGGTTTTTGTGACGGTGCAACTGGTATGTGAAGACTTTTATCCTTTTGCATGTTACATTAAGTCTTTTGCAGCTTTCTTCCCCCTTCAAATCCCTAAATTTCAGCATATCATCGGTAATAAAAAATTTCGCACTCAGTGCCATATCAGTTCTAGATCAATACACATCTGTATTTGTGCTTAAATTGTTCACAAACACAAATGATTTTTGCCTTCAGTGAGGATGGTAAACTGCCAGTGTATCTACAGTGCATGCATCTCTCTGCGTGCACAGTGTGAGCGTACATTTGCTTGAGTCCATGTCCGCGTGGGCACATTTGTGTGTGTGGGTGTGTGACTTGTGTGTTTGTGTTTCTTTGCTTTTACTGGCTAGTAATTGGATCTTTTGTCCTGGGTTCTGCCTGTCTTTGTGAGTGGAAGAAAAGCAAAGGAAGGGTACAACTCCAAGACTAGTCATGCCTTTTGAGTTGAGCCCCACTCACCTACAAAATAAAAGACAGGGCCAAGACTGAATAGACCAAAACACACATTTGCAGTTGCATATACACGCACATGCTTGCACACGCACATCACATCAACCCTTTTGTGGAAGTGTTAAGTGTGTGGGATTGAGATGTTTCTACTGGCTTAAAGAGGAGAATCAGATGCTGTCACAGCACAGATAGACAGTTTCACAAGCTCTAGATAAGAAAAAATGGCTTTTTGATAGACAGAGTTTACAGATACACTTAGCCTCGACTATACAGTATAACAGGAGATTTGGAAAATTCAGAGAACGAGGCTTTTGGTTAGCCAAATCCTATTTTGAATTCACTAGACAATACGGGTTGGGGAAATGGGCTTTTTGAGATGGCCAACAACCTCTCCTCCCTCCCCGGCTCTGGCCCTGTGTCTAAATGAGGACAGAAAATAAACAAACACTGTACCTCAGATTACTGGGCGGAGGACAAGTCAGCCTGGTTTGACAGATCACTGCTCCCTGCCTCCTTCCATTCAGCCCTTTTACCCCCTCCTCCTGTTCTCCTCCCTGCTTCTCCTTCACCCCTGCTTAACATCCTTCCTGTCCTTTTTTCCCTCCTGTACTCCCCCTCACACCATCCCTCCCTCCTTCCTTCTATCTATTTCTCCTTCACCCCTCCTTAACACTCATCCTTCACACTCCCTCACTCCTTCTGGTCAGCTCCTGCAGTACCTCCATATTTATCTCACTCCTGTCTCTTCCCCCTTATTTTCCTGAGCTGTGGAGCATCAAAGTATGTTAGTTTAAAGTCCTGGGAAACTATTGATTTAGACAGAGAGGAGGTAGAGCAAGGTCACCTGGCCCAACTCAAGAGAGACCACTGAATATTGGGAAAAGGCCTTGACACAGAGCTTCTGTTTCTCCCTTGCTCCCTCCTCCCTTTTCTCACATTCTCTCTTTTCTCTATAATTGGCTGCTTGATAAAACATTTTTCTCCCAAAGATTCAAACATCCAAAATCACACCATTCAGTGTTTTACATTTCAACCACTGAATATCTTTTTCTCTTTACGTTTAGCAGTTCAAACCAACCTGAACCAACTTTGATAACAGGGCTTGCAATTCAAATCCACAGCTCCTCTCTGTGTTATCCTTTGCATGGGCCACAGACTACATCCTTCTAGCATGCAGACTGTGAAAATACAGTGGTACCTGTCTGTATGTCAATCGGCCTCCAGAATCCAATTAAGATCAAAGGGATTTGGCCCTGCTACCCCTCTGTGCGTCAGACAATCAATGCCAGACAATGGATTGTGCCAGTCCATGCCGCACCTGTCCGCATTGCCACCATGTTCTGGTTTAAAAGAACATCCAATTAACTATAGGTATCATACTAACGTTATTGAACTTTTCTTTCCACTACCTGCTCTCATCGCTTCACATCTGCTTCTGAAAATGGACTTTGTACAGTAGCTCCTACTGGGTCTGTAGTCAATCATAGTCAGATTTGATCATTTTTATTTATGAATGTGTCACAGATTTTGTCAGTCTGGTGCAGGAGACTTTTCAGATTTAATATATACTACACTCTCCATGCCTGTTTTTGAATGCAAGAGGAAAGGAAGAACAATAAGGGTCAGTGTAAAGACAGGTATCAGTAGTTGCACATACCTTTCAATCTGTTAGCGGGCTTGTTCATAAAAGGTCACCTAATCCACTTTATATATACACTTTTGACATTTCCTGGCAGTCTTTTAAACATTTCTACACATACAAGATACATCCCATGTCTTAAACATGGATCCAAATCCAATTTTGCATCAGAGATTCTTGCTAAACAGGTATCATGAAGTCTTTTTGACACGGAGTCATGGAGAATGTCAATCCTGTCCATCTGTTTATCCTTAACAGATTTGCCTAGTTTTATTTGATTAGCTATTGGCAATTGATCAATCATCTTAAAGTAACTGTTTCCCTAAAGCCTTAACAGACTTAACAGGTCTTGACTCTTTTCTGGGGGCAGGTGGAGGAGAGGAAACAGGTTGGGATTTGACTAGTTCCTTTACGGTCATTCTGTATTTAAGTAAATAAGGAACTGTACATCAATAAACAGACAAGTGACAAATTAAAGGGAAAACTTGAATAAATGACTGTCTTTTCTCTGTCTCTAGTTCTTATTCCCTCTTAATGTTCCTCCCGTCATTGCTGGGGGTGTGGAAGAAGAAATGGGGAGTTAAACATTTGTGTGTGTTCTCGGTAGATGGGAGTGGGGAGTGTCGGGTGTGGTAGTTTAACATTCCAGGAATCCATCTACAGTCGAGCCTCATGGTTCTGTGATTCTGTCCATTGTGCAGAGGAGGGCAATGAATGGCTAACCCACTGCATAACTCTGGAGACATTCCCTAAAATGCTGCCCATACTCCCACATACTCGCATATGCACACACACACACACACACAGTCTAGAATAACCTGCAGTGTATTATACTTTGATTAATATGCACTATGAGAAAAACAGATCCCTCTCAGTACCAGCTAATGGTGATATTAATGTAGCAGAAAAAGCTTCTGGGTGAATAGCTATGAAGAGCTGAAGCTCTGTAAGAAATTTGAAAAATCTTTATCCAGTGTGCCTTAACTTGTTGCTGGTAAACATCTTACATGATCAATATAGTCATCCTTTACCCTGTGTGTACAAAAAGTCTTGTGCTGCAAGATGGCTCCTCTCCAAAACAATCTCCCTCCACACTACAGAGGATCCTCAAGCCCTCTCCTTGTATGCATTTTACTCACACACACACAGCACATGCACACACTCTCACAAAACACAAACATGCTGCCATCCTCTGCACACACATGTGGGTGGAAGGAGAAGGAGAGCAGAGAAAGGAAAAGAGAGAGAAAGAGTAGAGAAGCCCTAACCCTTTCCCCTCAGCTGGTGGAAAGTGAAACTTCAGAGTTTTCTTCCTCCCCCTCTCCATAGTGTTTGATAGCGTAGCACTGGCAGCCTCTGTGTGCCCCCCTGCCCACTCTCTCCCGTTATGTTCTGGTGGCCAGCTGCTAGCAGAGTTGCAGTTCTACGTGAGTGGGTGGGTGAGACTCGTTTCCTGTGCTCCTCAGGGCTCCGCTCCAACAACTACTGCAGCATGCTTCGGCCAGGGGCCACAGGGGCCACTATTCATAACAAACAGGGGGCTGGCTCCTCTCCTTCTCCTCCTCCTCCTCTTCCTCTTCTTTCTCCTCATCTTCCACCATCATCACCGCCACCACCACCACCACCATCAACATCATCATCAACATCGGCATACTGCCCACCCGCTACACCTACGCCAGTGCTTCCCTCTGAGCTTCGGCCCCTGGAGGCCCCCGGTCTGCACGCTGGGGCACCCCTGCTGCCCTCGGAAGGGTTGGACATGGAAGTGGAAGAGGACCCTGAGGGTCTGGAACCCTCCACCTTGCCTGAGGTAAGCACACATGGCCCGTTCCAGCTCCAGGGCAGAGGCTGCTCTCTGGGTGCCACTCCTCTGGTCAGATGAAAGTTTGATCTATGTAAGAGTGAGTGGGGATGAGCACCCAGAGGGCAGCTTTACCTTGCTTCTGTAGACATAGTGGCATGGCTGGGGGTTAATGGAGTTATTTTTCATCACTGGGAAATCTTTCTTACGCACTAGCACATCATCACTCAACCCTTCTCTGCATCTCATTCTCTGGGTGGAATCTGGCACATTTCCTGCTACACTGGAGAAGAAATGCTGTCTGTTTTGTCTTGTTTGTCATTCTGTTCTGTATGCTTTGTTTGCTTTCTCTTCCTTTCAGATTTCCCATTTTTAGCCATAATGTGGTTTATAGCGGTTACATTAGAGATGACACATCCACTCACAATGGCAGCGTGTGCTTAGAGATGGCAGATAACGGGTAAGGTAGTGAGATGAGACTGAGTTGAATCAATACTAGTAGACAATGAGAGGTTTGCTCTCACAGCCCAGGAAATTGTTTGTTTTGCTTAGTGTGTGTGTGTGTGTGTGTGTGTGTGAGCATAGCAGTGTGACCATGTGTGGATGTGAGTTTTTTGCCAGTTTGCGTGTGTGTGTACACTGAGTGTGCGAGTGAGCATTTAGGAGCAGCATTTGATTTCATTGGACCTGCTGCCCAACAAGCCTCCCTATCTCTATGGACAAGCCATCTGTTTGCCCAGTGCATGGTGTTCTGTTCTTAGAGAGGAGGAGGAGGAGGAGTCTAGGGCCAGAGGAAATGGTGGGGGTGAAGGAATGGCAGGAACATTGAGTAGATGAAGGAAGGATATAGCTCAGATGGGATGTACTGTATAAGGGAGAAGAGAGTGGGGGACTGTGTTTGCTGCACCTTGCTAACACCCGAGGGCGGGTTGAGTATAAGAGTATCAGACAGATAATATTATTAATACTGTAGATCAACCTAAGTGCTCATTCTGTGTCTCATAGGACAGCTCCAACATCCAGGAACTATCAGCTACTTACTGTACAAGATTTTTTTTTTTTCTGTTTGCCTGCTAATCGCTAATAATTTATGTCTTTAATTCATTCTGACCTGTCGCTTCTCTTCATTTTTCCTTTTCTGTTTTCATGTATTTGTTTGTGTTTCTTGCTTGTGTGATAAAAGTTGTCTTCACAGTTTGTCTCCCCTCCCTCCCACATGCCCAGAAGACATTACATACAGACTGTATAAATGTATGTGTGCGACATAACGGGACGTTTTGTGCTTACAGGAGGGCATAAAAGACAAAGAGATGAAAGAATGCAGCACAGGTATGGTTCAGGCTTTAAAAGCTGGACTATGTCATGTTCTTTAGTACCTTATCTGTCTCTCACTTTCACTCTCAATCTCCTTGTTGTCTCAGCTTTGGAGGGTGGCCGATGTCCTGTCGAGAGGGATCAGATGGGCGATGGCAACTGGGCTGGTGGCTTGACTTTGCCTGCGTCAGTGTCTGTGGCTGGCAAAGGGACTAAAGGGCTGATGATGCAGGGTGAAGAGCTTGGATCAGGGGAGAGAGTCCTGCCAGAGCCCAGTGCCTGGCCCTCACAGGGCTACACCTGCTCCCTGTGCAAACGGCTGTTTAGCAGTCTGGAGCATCTCAGAGAACACAAGTACCACCACACCCTGTCTCTGATGGCCTTGTCCCTAGACAGGCCAATCATGCAGGGTCCTCACCACCAACTTAACCAGCCTTGTCACCAGCCACAATTCCAACCCCTCCACTTCTATCATCCCGTGGTGGCCGAGCTTCCACCGGTGCGCTACCTCTGCTCCCAGTGCCCTGCCAGCTTCACCCTCAAATCCAATGCAGACCGACATGAGAAGACCATACATTTCAAGAAGAAGCTGATGCGGTGTGCGTACTGTCTGAAACACTTCAGAGACCGCACAGATCTGCACAGGCACCTGTCCTCCGTGCACTCCAAAGAAAGAGGGCATGCCTGTCCTTTCTGTGCCAAGGCTTTCAGCACCCAGAAGAACCTAGCAACACATGTTAAACTGTGTAGCCAGGTGCGGTCAGTGCCAGGTGTTATACTGGGAAGCAGTGCTGGAATGGAAATATCTCAGGGTGGGGTCATAGATCCACTGTGGCAGCTTTCTCAGGAGACGAAAGTTGACAATCATAATCGTAGTATCAACGTGAAAAACTAAGAGTGGATCTACAGGCCGCAAGCATTTGTTCACACATTCATACCCATCAGTTAGCAAGTGTATCCTCACATGTTGTATATTCATGCCAAAAGTGCTCTGTGGTGTTTTTACACCCAGAAGGGAAGAGATCCTTCTAAAATCTAATGTCTGTTGACATAATTATAAACATCTAGGGATATGTTGTTGTTGTTTTTTTACAACTTGTCAAATTTTATGTCATTATAATTTTTTAAAGATGATTTAACACAAATTGACAACTTGTATGTCAAGTAAACACAATTACTATGCAAACTGAACTTTTAAAAGAATTAACTGAAATGATATGTTGGGTTTTTTTTTTAGAGTTTGTGATTAGTTTCAGTGAGCACTGACTGGACGCATGAACAGGTGAATCACTTTCCACTGAGGCGGAGAGGCAGGGAGACGGAGAGACGGAGGGCGTTTTTCCACCTCCCCAAACTAAACCACTTATCTGCCTCTCTGTCATCAGTCACTAGTCTGACTAAACTCTTCTCTCCTTTTTAGGCAGAGATGTTTATCTTTTTGTCCACCCCTGCATTACTGGCACAAAGACACTCAGACACAGTTAATATGTGCCAGTCTTTACTGTAGCTCACAGCCCACACAACCACACCACCTGCAGGAGCTTTGTCGCATTGCAGCAGTGAGAGCTGAATGTTGTCAGTGGTCATGCACCTCAACAAATATTAAGAATTGGCCAAAAAGAACTTAATGAAATATGCAAGTTCTTTTCTTTATACCCTAATGCAAAGATAAAAGGAAAAACAAACTAATACTACTACCTCCACTGGACACGCAGAAGCCTGTCCTCAGTCATGACATGATTACCTTCTGTCAGTGCTCTGAGATCGGTGCAGATGGAGGGGTTGTGCCGAATGAAACAAAGCCAGCTAAAACAATAGACCAGTCGCAGCTCAGATGGGGGTTGGCTGGTGTCATTTTCTCTCTCTGTCCATCTCCTCTGTCCCAGATCTGTAAGTCTTCTTCTAGTGGCTCAGTGAGGCTGGAGCTGGACAGTAATTGGTCCTTCACGGCTCCGACCCTTCTTAACCCCTGACCCCTCATCTGAAGAGGAAGCGATGACCAAGGGGCAGATGCTCCCTAAAACCAGATGAGTGTGGTGATGTCACTGCTTTAGACTAATGATGGTGTGGCTGACCGTGTGAGTACAAGGTAGAAGGTAGGAGCTTTAGGGGAGACAAGTGGGAAAATACAGGAGAGGAATAATGGTGGTGGTAGTGAGGGAACCAGAAGGATGCTGGATTCAGTATGAATACTGGCTTCAAAATCATTGCTAAGTGATGTCAATTCACACCAATTTCTGCCAAGAATTTCTCTTTTGAGTTGGCAGCAGGCTTTTCCCCTGCAGCAAGATATTGTCTTGAAGGTTTAGTGTGATACCCAAAGGGAACACACCCATTTGTGTTTCCCTCTAAAAATCCAGTCACTTCAGCACATTGAACTGTGTACAGTAAAAGTAGAACTGGTGTCTGTTGGGAATTTGCCCTCATGTTGTTGTATACACACACAGGAAACTCCCAAATGCCAAATCCTTTCTAATGCAAAATCCCCGTTGGTCAGGTAGCACACTGTCCTACCCAGCGTCTGAAACAGTCAGGAACTCATCCCTCCACAGAAGCAGCCACTGAAGAGAAATGGCAAATATTGTACAGTCACTGTTGTAGTGTTCCTGGAATATGTGCTGGTGGAAATATTAAAAGATATTTCATTTGAGATCATGAAAATATCCCATGTACTGAACAATGACAGTTCTTAACACAGTGTTGTAGATTATATGCTGTAATTAAATTGTTACATGTGTCGTTTTTCTCTTTTATGTAGGCGTGCGTGTCACGCACATATTCACACAGTCACATTACTAACATGATTTAGAACATAATTTCTTTGTGTATTTGCATTTTAACTTACAAAAATCTGAATGCTCTGTTGTCGAGTTTATGTGCACTTGCATGTTTTTTTGTGTTGTGCTGTCGAGTGTTTAATCAGAGCAGAAGTCGATTTGCAGATGAGGTAATTATTGTATCCCTTATAGCTGTGTGTGTGTGTGTGTATGTGTGTGTATGACTCCTCTCTGTATGTACAGTAGATGCGTACAGTGTGTGTTGTGCTTGTGTACTCATAAATCCAGTTCTGATCTTTCATGGTCATACACTGTATGCCTTGACTGTAAAGTTTCTCATCAACACACACACACACACACACACACACACAATCTGTTTACTTGGATGCCCTTCACCTGTCTTAACTACCATTTAAGTCTAGACCTTGAGATAATTGGCTTATCTGACCTCTACACAAGATTGTGACATGGTATTAACATTAGTCCTTTTGTGTGTTGTTTTCATTATGCCGAAGCCTCTCTTTGTGTGTCTGATTTTATTCCCCAAACTTCAGCCTTCTTTCATTGTCTGTGTTTGTCTTCGCTGTCTATAGCAGAGACCTTCTAAAGCGACTAAGGTAGACCGACTGGTGTGTTGTGTGTTTATAGTATCTCTTTGCCTTTATTGCTTTAGTATGGAGGAAGAGCTGTTGCCAGGGTAACTGTAGCTTTGACTGGGTATGGGTGGCCCTGGGAATTGATGGTACATTTCTGGACTATGCCACTAATTAAATGTAATAACTGAAAAGTGATGTCTCGGTTTATTTAAATGAGTTTCATTCAACACTGATCTTTTTTTCTCTTGTCTTTTCTCTCCCTCCCTTTTTCTATGCATACAGTGAATGACTTCACAGTGATCCGTAAAAAGTTCAAGTGCCCCTACTGCAGTTTCTCTGCTATGCACCAGTGCATTCTAAAGAGGCACATGCGCTCGCACACTGGTGAGAGGCCTTATCCCTGTGAAATCTGTGGCAAGAAGTTCACTAGAAGGGAGCACATGAAGAGGCACACACTGGTGAGTGCACTGAGAGGATCACCCATAGGGGGCAGTATATTACACCTTATTTAAAGTATAAATAAAAATGTTCAAATGATATTTCCATCCAACAGGTCCACAGCAAAGACAAGAAGTATGTGTGTAAAGTGTGCAGCCGAGTCTTCATGTCAGCAGCCAGCGTTGGAATCAAACATGGCTCCCGTCGTCACGGTGTCTGTGCCGACTGCTCTGGCCGGGGCATGGCTGCACTGCTGGACCACAATGGGGAGGTGGGCGGAGACATCTCTCCAGAGGAGGAGCTTTATCCTGGCGATCGTTTCCATGATGACCAGGCAGAGTGCGATGGTGATGGAGAGGGGGAAGAGGAGATGATGGTCGAAGGGGACGGAGAGATGATGGGAGAAGGAGAGGAAGTTGGAGGGAAATGGAAGGACTCAGGTATGACTGCTGAGGCACATGGCGCACTGGACAATGAGAAGGAGGAGAGCGACTCCTCGGCACAGGAGGGGGAGCAGCAGAACGGGAGTGAGAGAGACTTCTCCTGGATTTCCTAGAATCTGCCAGGCTCTTGTTAGTGGCTCATCGACCAATCTCTGAAGATCTCTTGCGATCTCTTGCGATCTCTCGGGCGGAAAACTCGGCCCTCTTTACCCAATCGTCCTAACGTGGGCAGGCCTTTCTCTGAATGGAAATGCTGTAGGGTGATGCACGACAATGATCTCAACCTGTTATGAGTTACACACTCATATGCACACACATACACACAGACACACACACACACTTAGGCTATTGACTGCCATAGTAGAAGAGTGGTCAAGAGATGGCTTGAGTACAAGGCTTTTTCTGCCTACCTCCTTTACTTCTGATGCAGTGTTTTTGTGTTTCTTTTTCTTGAGGGTTCAGGCCAGATTCCAGTAGTTTTCTACTCTGTCACAACAGGAATCAATGAGAATGCTGCCAAGGACGAGGCCAATGCTAGACTGCAACTTTGTAT